TCTGGAAGCTTGACCTATCCCTCCGTGGTCTGGCTTTCTGCAGGCTGAGGGTGCCCAGGTGTCTTCCAGCCCCCGGGGAAGAAAAGTTACCTGTTTTTCAGGGAAGGGCAGAAAGCACACCCATGCTGGCAACAGTGAGGATAGCCCTCCTCTCATGCCCCAATGGCATACCCAGGTCAGGAGCAGAGATGAGAGGTAAGGACTTGGGCATCCAAGGCCTAACTGCTGATTATGTCACTACTGTCCTTACAGGTGACCATGACCAGTACTTACAGATCTCAAGTTAACCAATCTTTGCTGTTTAACTAGTGCCTCAGAGAGCACCCAGAGTATTTCCCTCTGTCATACAGCCACCTGGATGCCATCCCCAAACTCCTAATTCTTCTGGATGACTTATGAGCCCCTTAGCTGCCCTGGTCAACATGTCTGGACATCTAAGGTGGATGAACTTTGTGATACCCTACCTCCTGGGTGTAACCATGATGACTATAGATCTTAGAGCTCCTGGGCCATCTCAGTGACTAGGCATACCCAGGGCCAGCAGAGAGAATCACAGGATAAGGGCCATTGACATCAAGTTAGCAAATGCTAACTACCAACCCCAACCAGCAAGTTGCATACCTTGTATCCATGGAGAGTAATGAGTTCATACCAACACCAACCTTAATCCTGCCCCCACCCATACCTACTTTCTGCTATAGTTCTTTGTTGGCAGGGAGGATAAGATGGCTAGGACACTCCTGCACCCACATATGTCCATTTCTAATGGGGCCTAGCTGCCCTTTGACAGCTGTGGGTAAATACCCAAGCCCTGAGGTATGGCCAGGTCTTTATAGTACCCTTGAGTGTGACTTAGTGTCCAGCTTTATGGAGATAGCCCAGTCAAGACCAGCCTCTCGGGCCCTATCTGTCCTGCTTGGTCTTTCTTGGTCCCCCTTGCCACTCATGTTCCCTGAAGGACCAGCCTCAGAAGAATCCTTGCCAGAGCCTTTAGCTCCAGCTCTGCTTCCCTGTGTTCCAGGTTAAGAGTCCCCAACCCTTGGCTTGGGTGTGGCTCAGTGGTGTGAGTGTCTGCCTGCCATGTGTGTAGCACTGGCTTTTATTGGCATGTGTATACACTGTCCTGACACAGTGTCTATGGTTAGGTGTCAAAGAAACCCAGGACAAGTCTCACTCAGTACCTGTGGCTTCTCTCAGCACTTCTTTTTTTTTTTTAATCATTTTTAAGATTTTATTTATTTATTATGTATACAACATTCTGCTTCCATGTATATCTGCACACCAGAAGAGGGCACCAGATCTCATAATGGATGGTTGTGAGCCACCATGTGGTTGCTGGGAATTGAACTCAGGACCTCTGGAAGAGCGGTCAGTGCTCTTAACCTCTGAGCCATCTCTCCAGCCCTCTCAGCACTTCTTACCCCACCCTCTACCCTAATCTCCCTCCTTGGGGCTGGGCTCTGCCCTTCCCCAGCCTTCTGACCCTGTATAACCTCAGCCATTTTGGTTACATGCTCTCTTGGCCTCCTTCTCTACCTCTTTCACTCTGCCCCACCCCCTCTCTTCTCATGGCCCTGTTCAGTCTGCTGTCCTGGCTCAGTCTGGACCCTTCCAGATGCCTCTGGCTGTTTTCTCTCTTATTCTACAATAAACGTCCCCAACCATACCTAGGAGCAGTCATGTCTTCGTCTTTTTCATTCACCTACTTCAGCAGTTGTTGAGGAAGAAAAAAATAGACCTCAAAGCTAGGGTCCCTGCAGGCTCCACACCTTACTCCTGAACATAGCATCCCCCATTGCAGCTGTCTGTGTCCCCTCACTCTCCCTTAGGACCCCCCTCTCACCTCTGGATTCTTTGAGCCCTTCACTGAGCTGGTCTTTAATTATGGTGGGAGGACGGGAGACAGGGCCATCAGTCAACAGGCCCAGCGCCTCTGCCAGCACCCGGTATGCCTCACTCCCTCTGGCTGTGAAGATTTCTCTACTAAAGAAAGAGTGGCTCAGTGAACACCCATTACCTCAGCCCTGAGCTGGACTTTTAGACAGGTCACTGAGAGATAAAGTCCCCTGCAGACTCCTTTATCACCTCTTTGTGCAGGGGCACATCTGTAGGCTGGACCAAGTGAAGGGGAAATGTAGATACCCTCTCAGAAATCTCTCAGGCACAGCCTGGTGCAGGAATGCTGGGAATTCCCTCCAAGACGCCAGGTCTGGGATGGACTGCTGGAAGACCAGAAATGTGTTCTCAGGGGTGGGGCCCATGACTGGCTCCTTCTGCTATCTGCCACCTGTCTGTTTATGTCCGCCCAGGATCTGGGACCTTCCTCTTTCCCTGAAGTGTGTCTGTCTCTTCCTCCTTACCACAGACAGACTTTATCAAAGGTTGCTAAAGATCACAGGTCCAGCTACAAGACTTCAAAGCTCAAATGCCCCAGCTTAGAAATTGTTTCCCCAAATGCCAGGGCCAGAGCTGCCTTTCCTGTCACGGTGTCAGATCACATTTGTCATCAATCCTAACTGTGGATGGGTTCTGTTCTTCAGCACTGCCCAGAAGGCAGGCCTACTCTGGCTTATACTTCACCTAGTGAGGCTAGTGGTGAGCACTTTTTCTAAGAGGGGTTGAGTTTCACATTCAGGCCCCGAACATGCTGCATCTGACCTCAGGTTTGTTTTCTGGTTTTTTTTTTTTTGTTTGTTTGGTTTTAAAGATTTTATTTATTTATTATATATACAGTCTTCTGACTGCATGCCAGAAGATCTCATTCAAGGTGGTTGTGAACCACCATGTGGTTGCTGGGAGTTGAACTTGGGACCTCTGGAAGAGCAGCCAGTGCTCTTAACCTCTGAGCCATCCCTCCAGCCCCCGTTTTGGTTTTTTTGAGGCAGGGTTTTTCTGTGTAGTTCTGGCTGTCCTGGAACTTTCTCTGTAGAACAGGCTGGCCTTGAACTCAGAGATCCAAGTGCCTCTGCCTCCCGATGCTGGAATTAAAGGCATGTACCACCAATGCCCAGCTTTGTTTGTTTGTTTGTAAGATAAGTGCCTCACACTGTAACTCACACTTGAGGCAATCCTGCCTCAGCCACCTGAGTGACTATCTTAATGCCATCCACCTGCGATACAAATGCTGTGGGCTTTTCCAGATAACTACTTCAGCTCCTCTCCAGCTCTCAGATCTATACAGACTCCCTGCCAGAAATAGGAAATTAAACACTTCATGTAGACTGGAATGTTCTAGGAGCTAGGGAATCATGGGAGCTTTCCATAATGTAACAGATCTTAAACAGCCAGAGTCCCAGAGGCTGCAGATACATAGGAGTTGGCCATGTAGGCTTGCTGGGGCACTCAAAGCAGTACTTTAGGAAGGTGCTCTGTGAGGTCTTCTGGGCCTCTGGGAGCTTCTGCTTTTCCTCCAGGGACAATGAAACCTTGGGCAGAGGAGTAGCAAAGCATTGGTAGCCCAGAAATGCCTGTTGGAAAGGGTTCAGGGGAAGGGGCCTTGGGATGAGCCTGTTTGTCTCACCATGATCAAGCCCTGGCTTCCTCCTAGAAGCTCCGTAGTTTGGGAGAATGTTGGAGGTGCTGCCAGGGTTTTATTGAGTTATTCCGACAGTTCTAGGCATTTTCTCTTGAGTTCTCATAAAAATTCAAAGCCCCTTCACCATGAATTAGGGGCTAAGTATGTGGCCCTCAGTGGGCACTTGGGGTAACAGGCAGGTAAGAGGCAGCTGGGTACCTTAGCCCAGCTGACCAGTGGTCCTAAAGAAGGGCACTGGCACCCAGAGCCCAGAGATCCAATTGCAGCACCAAGTCTATAATTGTTCGACCCTCCACCTAATAGACCAGGCTGTGCTTTCAGGGCCTTGTGTCATAGTTGGTCCTGATAGCTGACTGTGCAGCTAGTGAGGATTCTGTGCCCATGGGACTTTTATACCTCAGCTGTGGTCAGGGTGGGTTGCTGTCTAGGCTGATACCCATAGGTCATTTCCTGCTGACAGAGTCTAGGTTAGGCTTCTCACCATGCCCTACTTCCACCAAGCTTTGCAGCTCCATTTGAAATAGGAGGAACAAGAGAGGAGTTGAATGCTGAGAGGTTCAGCATTCTATCTAAGGCTATTCAACCAATAGAGATGGAGCTGTAAACACAGCCAGGATGATAATGGCAATGGCAATGGTGATGGTGGTGGTGGTGGTGCTGATGATGAGGGTGGTAATGGCAGTGATGGTGATGATAATCAAGGTGATTTTGGTGGTCAATAATAAAGGAAAATGTCAAATGTCTCATTAAAAAAATCTATTATCCAAGTATGGTGTTGAACGCCTTTAATATTAACACTTGGATGGCAGAGCTAGGCAGATGTCTTGTGAGTTTGAGGCCAGCCTGGATACTGAGTTCCAGGACAGCGAAGGATACATAGTGAGACCGTCTCTGGAAAATATAAAGAAGCTGGGAGTGGTGGTGTACACTTTTAATGCCAGCATTCTGGAGGCAGAGGCAAAAGCAGGTCAATCTGTGTGAGTTCAAGGCCAGCCTGGTCTTCACAGTGAGTTCCAGAACAGCCAGGGTTATGAAGAGAGACCTGTCTCAAACAAAACAATAAATTATTTATTTATTTATTTTGAGAGACATTTTGGGCATAACTGATACAATTTAACTATTATATGTATTGTTTTGTTTTGTTTGTTTATTTTTCAAGGAGTTTCTCTGTACAGCCTTGGCTGTCCTAGAAAGCACTTTGTATTCCAGGCTGGGACTAAAGGTGTGCACCACCACCACCACCAGGCTATTACAAGTATTGCAACCTGGTGCTAGAGAGATGGCTCAGTAGTTATGAGTGCTGGTTACTCCTTCAGGGGTTCCAGTTTTGATATCCTGCATCCAAATAGCAGCTCACAACCACCAACTGTAATTACAGTCCCATGGGATCCAATGTCTTTGGACCTCCACTGGCAATGCACAGACATACAAGCAGGCAAAAGACCCATACAAAACCATACAAAACTTTAACAAAATATTGTCACCTGATTCTTACTACTTTTTGTAATGTACTAGTAGAAAACTTGGAACCACACAACTCACGCTGCATTTCTACTGAACAGAGCAATGTTAGATGCCCACACAAGGAATGCAATGGTTACTTGCCAACTTGACAGAATGCAGAACCACTGGAGAAGCAGGCCACTAGGCATGCGTATGAAGAACAATCTTGATTACATTAGTTAATTGGAAGACCCGCCCACTATGGGCAACATCATTCCCTTGGCAGGAATCCTAGGCTGTAGAAGTAGAGGAAGCAAGCCAAGCACCAGCATACTAATGAGCAGTAGCTCATTAATTCTTTGCTGCATTAATTCTTTGCTGTCTGTGCTTGACTCTGGATGTAATGTGACCAGCTCCCTCTTAGACTCCCCACTGTTGTCACTTCTTCATCATGACAGACTGGAATCTGAAGTTTCAAGCTGAATCAATTCTCTCTGAAGTTGCTTTTGTCAGGGTATTTGATCACAGCAACAGGAAAGAAGCTAAGAGGGCTAAAGCAGAGTTAGCCTCTCCCCACCTGCTGCTTTCTGAAATCAAGTGTGAGAAGAGGGCCTTTGTCGTTACTGAGATATAACGAGACTCTCAGCTCCTCACGTAGCTGTGAAGCAGGTTCCATAAGACAAGACACCCTGGTACTGACAAGGAGACTGGCTCTTGGAGGGAGAAAAAACTGCTAGCATCATTCAACCTGTGGCAAGCAATAGCATCTTCTCCAGGAATCCTGCTCTAGCCCATCCATAACGGATTCCAAGGTTGTCTGGCAGACAGGGAGCCAAGTGCAGATCAATACTGGCTGAGACCCAAATGCCTTCATTGAAGGTGAAAGCTGCCTCTCTATATTTGGCCACAAACTTTGAGTTAAAAGCCAAGACACAAAAAGCTCCTCCGTGGCTGCAGGTGACTCACAGATCCTCAGCAGGTCCCTGAGGGATTTTATGTTGTTCCAGCATCAGTTACAGTTTCCTGTCTGGGAGTGTGAAGGAGAGCAGCAAGTGGAGAGCTGGAAGTAGGAGGGACAGTCCAGATCACTGGCTCAGCAGCTGTACGCCTGCAGTCTCAGCTTTTTCACCTGCATGTCGGTTTGACCTAGAGAGGCACTTTGAGTGAGACAGAGAAGCCATTTCAGTAACAGGAAGCAGAGCTGTCTGTTCAGCAAACCTGGACAGAAGCCATTCTCTTTCATTAAATGAATTTGAAGCCAGTGAAGTGCGGTGCAGTCACACTTTCTTGTCATTGTTTCTTTCGGGTGACACCAGGATGCAACAGAAGGGCACAGCCTGCAACCATTCATTCTGTGCCTGTATTGAGGTTGTAGCTTGGCAGGGAGCAAGTCTCAGGGAACCAGAGTGGGTTCTAGGGAAGTGAGGCAAGGTCAGAATGTGACTATCATCAATACCGAGGACCTATGGCAACTCTAATGATCCTCAGGTGGTGAGAAGATGATGGTCTTGATGATAATGGTGAAAGTGGTGATGACTGTTATTTTTTCCATTGTTATAACAAAATACAAAACAAAAGCAATTTAACAGGATTTAGGATCACCATCAATGCATGCCTTTGGGTGTGTCTCCGCTGATGTTTCCCAAAGGGTTTAACTGAGGCGGGAAGACCCATCCTGAGTGTAGGTGGTGCCACTGTACGGACTACATGAAAAGAAGAAAGCTGAGTATTCATCTCTCTTGACTGTGGTTCACTGTGCCCAGCTACCTCTTGTTCCTGCTGCCAGGCTTCCCCTGCCATGATAAACTGTACCATCAAACCATGGGCTAAAAAACAAACTCTTCCCTCCTCAAATGGCTTTAATCAAGCTTCCTGTGGAGTGGCTTTTTTGTTTGTTGGTTTGGTTTGGTTTGGCTTGGCTTTTTTTTTTTAGACAGTTTCTCTGTGTAATAGCCCTGATGTCCTGGAACTTGCCTTGTAGACCAGGCTGGCCTTGAACTCACAGAGATCTGCCTGCCTCTGCCTGGGATTAAAGGCCAGTGCCACCACTGCCAGGCTACTTTGATTTTTTGTGACCATGTTTTAATTAAGGTTCCATGGATTGGAAGAGGCCTTGACAAAAAATCTGATAAAATGTAAGGAGTTGTTTTGCTTCCCAGTTTGGGGGAGGGCCTGGCCAGAGTGTGAAGCAGGCAGATCTCTGTGTTTGGCCTACAGAGCAAGTTCCAGGACAGCCAGTACTCATATACAGAGAAACCCTGACTCAAAATAAATAAGAAAGAAAGGAAGAGAGAGGAAATCCTTCATGGACATGCCCATGCCCAGAGGCATGGTGACTCTAAATCCCCGTCAAGCTGATGAAGAAGATTAACTATCACAGTTAGGCAACACAGTTCAGATGGTAGGGTGCCATTGGCTTGTGTGTGTAATGCCTTGGGTTCCATTCCTCATCACTGCAAAAAACAAAACAAAACAAAACAAAAACAAAGGGGATCTATTTCAAAACACCTGAGTTGCTGGGTCTGGCTTGAGTCCTCTGGAGTTACACTTGTTTGCTTGCCCTTACCTTGAGAGGCCACTAGCACACAGGGTGGAGGTAGTTCCTACCCCAGAGCATTCTCTAGTCCTAGGAAAACATCTGATTGGCTCAGCCATGCATCACTTATCTTATCAGCTGTGACCAGGAGGCAGCTGGCTTTGTCCTGTCACTGAGGCAAACCAGGATTTCCTGAGGGGCTCCAATGCTGAGTCATACAAAGGCCTACTTTCCAGGGGTGGCCTTACTAATGTGGAATGGTTACTAAGGTTGCTCCGAAGCATCCAGAAGACCTCACGCCGGCTGTGAGGCTCTAGGGCATACCACACCCATGAGGTGCGAGCACCAAGTCTGGAAACTCACTACTAAATCCTGGTCCTTCACCCCACAGCTGCAGATGCATTTTAGATTGATGCTCTGAACTGTACAAGCGCCCACCTCCTCGGAACTCTCCTTCGGTGCAGCTTGTCCTTACAGCTATCCAGGTCTCCCAGGTCCTGCTTCCGCGCTGTCCCTCCCCTTATGCCCTCCCTCCTCCTTGGGAGCCACCTTTGCCCAAAATGACAGTACTATGTGCATGGCCATTCCCTCCAGAGTGCTGGGAGCGTTGGGTGGCAGTGACTGAGGAAATCAGGTGATGAGGAAATCAGTCCTTCTGCGTGGCCTTCCTGATTTCCCAGCCTCTAGGCTGCTTCCTGCTCTGGAGCCCCCTCCCAGAGCCGACCTCTGCACTCTATAGCCCGGATGTGGCAAGAGCAACGAGATGCTTTGGAGCCTGTTCTGTTGCTTGAGCCGTGCTGTGTAGACTCATCGCGCGTCTGGGACCAGATATTCAGCAGCTGCTTGGGACTCGATCCAGCTACTTTGCTGGCATGCGAGACCAGGCTATTCTGCAAATGTGAACAACAGGAGCAAAGGCGTCTTTCATCCGATTGCCTCTTTGCCGGGCCAGAAGCCATTGGCTAGCGGTCGCCCCACTTCGTGCTGCGCGCGACGTGGATTTGAGACCCGTACGCTCCACAGCCTAGCTAGCGCTTGTAAATGACTGACAGCGCATGTGCTGTGCCGCACGTCAGCGCGCCAGTGGTCATGAGTCCAGCCCATTCCGGTCCACCCATTCCTGGCCGCTCCCATTCCCGCTCACTCAAACTGAAGGCGGCAGGGAGGTGCCCGACGTGACGCACGCGCATTTTGGTGCATGCTAGCGCGCATGCTCTGGAGTATGCACCTTTCCCCCTCCAAGAGCTGCGCGTGATGGTACAGCCTGGGCGGGGCAAGGCCGAATCCGCGAAAACCGCGCGAAATCCGCGGGAACTAGCTTTTTGGCGCCATGGCGCAAAGTCGTGTTACCGATTTCTATCCGCGCCGTCGGCCGGGCCTTGCTGCTCCGCGGGCTAAGTCGGCCTGTCTCACCCCGAGCCCCAGTGGGCTTGTGACCCCTCAGTTCATCCGGAGCAGCAGCCGCAAGCGCGCCCGTCCCTCCACCGAACCCAGGAGCGACCAGGCCGCGCCGCCCGCGCGCCGGAGGCTGCGGCTTCCTGGACTGGTGAGGCGCACTTGGGACCCCAGAGGACCCCTGGCTAGGAGAGGAACACTGACCATCGGGAGCTGAGGCAGGGAACTGGGCGCCAAGACTGAGGGAGGAGTAGAGTCTGGAGCTGGCTAGGCACTCCTCTGTCTCCCCCAGGGGAGCCAACAGCTGCCCTACAGAGGGGAACCTGGATTTGCTGGGAGGGTGCAGCAGGCAAAGGTTGGGGGTGATAGTTCCGCAAAGAATTGTGCTGGAGCATCTGAAATGGAGAGAAAACACAAGAGAGTCAGGCCTGGAGGCTACTTCAAGGAGGAGGAGGAGGAGGAGCCCCCCCCAGACCAGTGGATCTTTCCTGTGTCATCAATTGACAGGCACCCCCTCCCCCCCAGCCTAGGGTCTAGTTCACTGACAACCTGGTTCTGGCTCTTAAGGCCAGTGATCTTCTTGCAGAGCAGGTACCCCCCCACCCCTCTCCACCCTAGTGTATTCATCTGTAGCTTTTTGATTACCAGGACTCCTGCCCCAGTTCCCCAGTTGATCCCAGCTCTCCAGCTGACCCTAGTTCCCCAGTAAGCCCATCTCCTGTCAAGAAAATAAAGAGCACCACTGTTTCAGAAGGACCAGGCCTTTCTGCCACAGCTCAGCAGCGGGACAAGGTAAGGAGGCTGGACTGAGGGTGGGCTGTGGGTAGGGTTATGAATAACTGTTAGAACTAACAGCATCTGTGTCTGTAGGTCCCCTCAAAAGACACCATCTCAGAGCTCCAGTCCTGCCTGAGGCGGGCACGTAAGTTGGGAGCCCAGGCTCGGGCCCTGAAGGCCAGAATCCAGGAGAATGCTGTTGAGTCTTCTACATCAGATGCCAAGGTTTCCACAGAGCAACCATGGTGAGTCCTAGTGAGCCACAAGGTCCAGGGAAGGACAGGCTGTTGGGAGGCACTGTAGATCCTGAGTGGATGGGTGGCCATGACTTCCCGGGAGACAATTAGTGTGGCCATGGGGCTGGGAGCCAGATTGCCTAGACATATAGTCTACTCTTCACCAGCACTATGCACTTGTCCCCCAGCTGAAAAGGACATGGTCACTTCTGCCTTTGGCTTGTTCTTGGCACTATGGGCAGCTGTGGATGCTGTGCCTGTCTGGGTCTCTCTTTCTCCAAGCTGAGGGTGTTGGGCAGGCAGGTGAGGCAGAGCTGGTATGTCGAGCAGGCTGGTGCGTGTCTCTTTCTGGTGGTCCTCACTGGCACAGTAGATCTACGAGGACAAGGCTCTGGTTGTGAAGGGCTCTTCTACCTTGTTGTCTGGTGGGGACGTCGGGGGGGGGGGGGGTTCAGATTGTGTGGCTTGATGGTCTAGTGAGACTCCTTCCTGTTGACAGTGTCAAGAAAGTCCCTGCCTACCAGCGCTTCCATGCCCTGGCCCAGCCTGGTCCCCCTGGCCTTGTCCTGCCCTACAAGTATCAAGTGCTGGCCGAGATGTTCCGTAGCATGGACACCATTGTGGGCATGCTTCACAATCGATCTGAGACTGTGACCTTTGCTAAAGTCAAACAAGGTGTCCAGGACATGATGCGCAAGTGAGTGTTGAGGGAGAGTGGCTTAGGTGCCCTTGAAGTCTGATGCCAGTCTGTGTGGTCCTTCTGACCTAGCCCTCTCTTTCTTCTGTAGACGCTTTGAAGAGCGCAATGTGGGCCAGATTAAAACCGTGTACCCCACATCCTATTGCTTCCGCCAGGAATGCAATGTCCCCACTTTCAAGGACAGCATCAAGAGATCTGATTACCAACTCACCATAGAACCCTTGCTGGACCAGGGTGAGTCTCTGGCAAGGCTGTGGGTGTGCTCACTCACCTTGTTCTTTTGGGAGAGCATGACACGCTGGTATCAGCACTGGTAGTTGGATTTGAGTCACGGGTGGGCAACTGGACAGGCCTGGAATCACCTTGTTTTCCTCTTACAGAGACTAGTGGTGGTGCCACCCAGCTCACAGCCACGTGCCTCTTGCAGCGCAGGCAGGTCTTCCGACGGAACCTGGTAGAGCGAGTCAAAGAGCATCACAAGGTGAGTGCTGGAGTTTGTGGAGGTCATTGAGCAGGTTCAATCCCTGCTGTAAGAGGTCATGGTCTTAAAGTGGCCTGCTCCCCCTTCAGTGGCTGTTCTGATTGCAAATACAAAGGTTTCTATTAATTAATCCCTTGCTATGGCTATCTTAAAATGTGAGGAGGGTTGATTCCACTACTGACATATGCTATAGGCTGGAGCTGGGGCAGAGCTGCCTGGAACCCAAAAGCTGGGGACCTCCAGATTTCCTTGAGACCCTGAGGAGGCTCCCTTGTCATTGTCAACAGTGCCTGTATGCTAGGAACGTGCCTCTTTTTTTAGTTTTTTGAGACAGGGTTTCTCTGTGTAGCTTTGGAACCTATCCTGCCACTCACTCTGGAGACCAGGCCTGCCTCTGCCTCCCCAGTGCTGGGATTAAAGGCGTGTGCCACCAACGCCTGGCTGGAACGTGCCTCTTTATACCTGGCTATGTGTACCCAGGCACAGAAAGGCTAAGTTGTTTGCCCAGGGATTTCTAGCTGGAAATGAATTGAGTAGCCCAACACTCCTTTCCTCCAGGCTTTCCTTGCTTCATTGAACCCCCCCATGGCTGTGCCTGAAGACCAGCTGACACGCTGGCACCCACGCTTCAATGTGGATGAAGTGCCTGATATTGAACCAGCTGAATTGCCCCAGCCCCCTGTCACGGAGAAGCTCACCACTGCCCAGGAGGTGTTGGCCCGAGCCCGCAGCTTGATGTCACCCAAGGTGAGGCTCTCTAGCCTCTAATTCATCCTGTTCTCCTCAGGGAGTACGGCAGCCTGACCCCAGTGGGTGGAGGTAATAGCTGAGTGCCTCTGGGTTGGTTATCTGATATTTTCTCAGCTAAGGACACAGAAATAAGATGTGCCCTGAACCTTCTCACTCACACACTCACTGCACCAGCTCAGCTGGCTGTGTATATCTGCTGGGCCTCCAAGACTAGGGAACTTGGCCTGGAGAGAGAGGGGATTCCTGGGTGGGACCCATGCAGGGCAAAGGGCTTCCCCTCACAGGACTGGGCAGTTAGTTACCATTTGTGACATCTGACCTGTGCCAACACTGCAGATGGAGAAGGCCTTGAGTAACCTGGTCCTGCGCTCGGCTGAGTCTAGTAGCCCTGGGTCCTCTAGTCCAGCACTCCCAGCCACCCCACCAGCCACTCCACCAGCTGCTTCTCCCAGTGCCCTGAAGGGTGTGTCCCAAGCCTTGCTGGAGCGGGTAAGTCCTGGTTAATGGGTAGAGGGCATTGGTGACAAGAGGGGGCCTTGGTAACTATTGCTGTTAAACCACTCCATACAGATAAGGGCCAAGGAAGTCCAAAAGCAGCTGGCACAGATGACGCGGTGCCCAGAACAGGAGCTTCGGCTGCAGCGGTTAGAGCGCTTGCCAGAGCTGGCTCGTGTATTGCGTGGTGTCTTTGTGTCTGAGCGCAAGCCAGCACTCACTATGGAGGTGGTCTGTGCAAGGATGGTGGACAGTTGCCGAGCTGCCCTGAGCCCAGGTTTGTACAAAGCAAGAAAATGGTGAGGGGGGGCTGGAGAGGTGGCTCAGCGGTTAAGAGCACTGGCTGCTCTTCCAGAGGTCCTGAGTTCAACTCCCAGCAGCCACATGATGGCTCACAGCCATCTGTAATGAGATCTGGCGCCTTCTTCTGGCCTGCAGGCATAGCATACATGGAGGCAGAACACTGCACACATATATAATAAGTAAAACTTAAGAGATGGTGATGAGAGTGGGCATGGTCATGCTCACTGTGTCCTTGGCAAGGAGCTGGGTCCATTTCTGACCAGGGACAGTTTGCTTGCCATGGACTTGTTGGAATCCCAGTTCTGCCGCTTAGGGGCTCATCTCAGCTGTCAGGCCTGGAGCAAGCTGTCACCAAGCTTGGAGTATATGTGTCTTGCCCTTGCTGTTCATCCCCCTGGTGTTTGAGAGCAGGGCCCAGGCCTCTGCTTGGATCCACTGCACACAGGTTAAGCCTTGAGGGGTGTAAGGCACCAGGCTGGGTAAGTGAGTTAAGCAAGTCATCCAGGCACTGTGCTTCAGTTAACCACAATGCACTTCCACAGGGGAGATGGAGAAACATGTGTTGCTCCTATCTGAGTTGCTGCCAGACTGGCTGAGCCTGCATCGGATTCGCATGGACACCTACATCAAGCTGGACAAAGCTGCTGACTTAGCTGGCCTCACTGAAAGGCTGACCCACCAGATCCACACTGAGGGGTTGTGACTCATTTCTTTACCTGATAGTCTGTTCCCTTTATCAGTACAATGCACTTGAGCATCCCTCGCAGTGTCACAGGCCCAAGGGCTTACTGCCAGTATGGGCAGCAATTGTGCCCATAAAGTGCTAAATTGGTTCCTGAGGCTTTGGGTACCCCAGACCCAGCACTTGTGTGGGTGTTGGGGAAGTAGACTTGGAGAGCAGAGTATGTTAGATGCCCGTCCCACAAACTACTCATCTAGGTACTGGCAAGGTCCAGTTGGGAGCCTTAGGCCAAAGCCTAGCCTGTTCTCCATGCTCATGAAAGCTGCTGTCTTGCTTAGAGCCTTAAGACCCACACAGAGAACTTGGGCTTCTGGCCAGCTTTCATAAGGACAGAGAGTTCTGAATGGCAAGAGTGAAATTGGGCCTTCTGTATATAATGGAAATAACTATAGGTTTTGAGATCAAAATTTTTATTTAACCTTCTGTACCTTGGATGTGACTGTTAATCTTGGCTTTTAATAAAGTCACGTAAGATTTAAATAAAAGTAATACAGAAATTAAACTGAATGGGTCACCATAAAATACCTATAAATGATGCCCTGCTGTTGTTGCAATGTTTTCTTCTATGGCTAGCAAGACCAGGCCAGTAAAAGTCTGGATGGGAACAGTCTTGCTGGGGGTGTGGCTCAGCATCCCTACAAACAACCTGGTATTGATGTTCAACAAAATATGAATAAGGTATTCCCTTGGGCTACTCTCTCCATTTTGGTCCTAAAGGAATGGCCCAGAAAACTTCCTAGAGGCTGTGAAATCTATACAGAGCTGTGCCTACTGGTTTCCACCTGTTTTGAAGAGGTCTGCAAGGTGACACTGAGCCCCTGTTCCCATCATGTCACTCTAGAGACTACTGATGAAAGCCTTTTGCTTAAAACGGATTCTGGTTCTATAAGACCCTACGGCCGGGGCAGTGTGTGGGATTGACTCTGTGGAGAACATTTGCACAGGGAATCCCAAGGGACAGGGACTGTCACCTGGCAGCTATGGAACGTGATCCATGCAACAAGACAACAGGAAGCACCATATGTACCAAACTATTTATTGATCTGCTGTGTCATAACCCACAGTAGCTCTGCTCTGCTCCAGGACTCAGCACATATATAAAATGCAAGGACCCAGGTGGTCCATAGGCATGGCCATCAGCTGACCAAAGAAATGAGTGAATAGAGTTAGAGAAAGTGCAGCTGGTGGCTCACAAAGGTCACTTTGGTAAGGCTGAGCCACTGTTCAACCGTAGATGCTGAGGGCAGGGATGCAGCAACCATTCCAGTCACTCATATTGCAGGAGAGAGAAGAATGGTACTGATCCTAGCTTCTCTCTGCCCTTAAGTGAGGTCAGCTCCACCAGGCTCACACACTCCACCACCTCAGCCTGTAGCTGGCCCAGCAGCTCACAGGCAGCGCACATGGTTCCTGGGGTGAAGGGACGAGGAAAGACACAGGTAGTAAGGCTCTTGCTTAGTCAGCACCCCGGATAGGGCTTATCCCTTTGAAACCTCTTTATGCTACAGAGTGGCTCTTACCTCCAGTGGCCAGGAGATCATCTACAACAACCACTTTCTGGCCAGGTTCTAAGGCGTCTTTCTGGATTTCTAGTTCAGCCTGCAGACAGGAAGTAGAGTGAGAGTCTAGTAGCTAACAAGTGACCACCACCCCTAGCTTCTCCATGTTTCCTGGTGGTATAAACCTGGCCTGATGACTTAACCTCTCTGAGCCCCCACATTTACTCCTAGACAGCTACCCACTGCCTGCTTACCTTGCCATACTCGAGAGCATAGGAGGCTGACACTGTGGGGCCTGGCAGCTTCCCTCGCTTCCGGATGAGCACACAGCCCAGGCCCAGCTCCTGAGCTAGGGAGGGGCCAAACAAGAATCCCCTGGAGTCTAGGCCTGTTAGGATGAGAGAGGGGGCGTGTTAGGGCTGAGGTGTAAGGATTGAGTGAATAGTATTGACCAGGAATACTAGGTCTTACTAGCTATAACTAGAAGGCTGATGGCTATTGGGGCAGCAGCTTAGCCTTGGGGATGTTATCTGCCTTCTGTATCTAGCTCGGGGACACCTATGGTTTACTTTTGCCACCTCTCAAATACATCTGCCCAGGCGCACTTTATCGGTTACAGTTCAGGGTATATGTCTGGGGTCACTTCCAGGGAGGATGAGCTACTGTAGCAGGCAGAAAGCATGCCCTAATTCCTGAGGTATGGCCAGGAGGAACCAGTAGGAAGTGGGCATCAGTAATTGTAGCACATGTCAGGGCTACCGAATTCTCTGGGGTTCTCACCCTCTGGGACATGTCTGACTCCCCTGGTGGACATTCAGCGACCCTAGGGTGTTTCTGAAGCCCGTGCTTGCACGGGGCCTGGTAAGTGAAAGTTATTTAGCACAAGAATTACACTTTGGTGCAGCCCCTGAGACTACCAGGCTCTAAGCCTGCCCAGGCATGCCCTCGTGTGCCCCAAAGATACAGCATTTTTTAGCATCTAGTTCATCTTAGGTGCTACTCCTAGCAAGGAGGTTCCAGGGCCTTCCTCAAAGTTCTCAAAGCACACGTATGCTTCTTACAGTCCTGCCTCCAGGCTGCTAGCCAACTTCACACCCCAAGAGAGAAGGGCTGGCCCTGAACAAGGACCGAGCAGAGTTCATCTCTAGTAGAACAGGCACTGAGGGCGGAGGTCAGAGACCTAGCAGGGGTGGGAGACGCAGTACTCATCCAGGGTCAACGAGGGACCAAGGCAAGAGAAACAGAGTGCTAAAAGAGGATTAGGGGTTGAAGAAAGAAGGGATGGGTGTGGGATGGACTGAGGGTGACATAAGGGAAGGGAGGGGAGCCTGCACAGTGGGGGACCAGCACGGCCTGGCATGGCCACTCGCCTGCGATGTAGTCGATCTTGCCGCCATGCGTGGACTTAAGGTGACTGGCCAGGAGGCGGATGGAAGCTCGGAAGGAGGCGGGGTCCTTCAGGAGGGGCGAGATATCCCTGGGAACAAGGAGAGGCTGGTGGCCGGGGAAAGGGGGGCGGAGACCCCACAAGATCCCCGAGACTGCCCATGCGCCTGCGCCGGGAGCCCAGGAACAGGGCTCCAACGCCTTGCTGGCTCGTGATCTCACCTAAACAGCACGCCGGGGATGGGGAAGTCGGGGAAACTGCGGATGCGCTGCGCCACCAGCTGCAACTCAGATTCCGCCATAGCCGCGTGCACGAGAAAGGGCGGAGGGATGTCAGCAGGCTGGGGTCATACCAGTCCGGGAACAAGGGTGGGGGGTGGTTGGTAGG